CTTAGTTGTTAATAAATATTTTCTGAATCTGGGCTTCCCTAAGTGTCTCAGTTGGTAAAGAATTGGCCTGCAAAGCAGGAGACCCGAGTTCAATCCCTGGGTCATGAAGATTCCCTGGAGAAGGAAATGGCAACCCAGTGCTCTTGCCTGGAGAATTCCGTGGACAGGGGAGCTGGCAGGCTACAGTCCATGGAGTCACAAACAGTCAGATAGGACTGTGAGACTTGCTTTCACTTTTACTTTTCAAATCTGGATCTAGTCCAACTATGTCAGAAAAATTCTGAAAGTCATTAACTTTCTAAGAAATCTCTGCTTCTTGTCTTTTGTTTCAACAGTGTATTTAATACACTCAATTTAATAATGAAGACACCAATTTAATAATTCAATACTTCTATGTATATAGATACAAAAATCCTCAACAAAATACTAGCAAGTAGAATTCAGCAACATATAAAGATGATTATACAACATGACCAAGTGGGTTCATCCCAGGAATGTGATGATAGTTTAACAGCTAAAATCAATTAATGTAATATAGCATATAAATAGACTAGAGGACAAAAAATATTTAGTAATCTCAGATGCAGAAAGAACTTTTGGCAAATGTCATACCTTTTCTGGATAGAAACACTCAAACTGTGAATAAAAGGGGACAAGTTTGATAGAGCATCTACAAAAAAAAAAAAAAAAAAACTTATAGCTAGCATCCTACTGAATGGTGAAAGATTGAATATTTTACCCTAAGATCAGGAATAAGACAAGGATGTTGGCTTTCACCATTTGTTTTGGCATTATATTGAGATTCTAACAGGGCAGTTGGGTAAAAAATAGAAATAAGGTATTCAAGTTGACATGGGAGAAGTAACACTATGCATATTTGTAAATGACATGAGATTGTATTTAAAAAATCCCAAGGAGTCAACTAAAAAACTATTAGAACTAATAAACAAGTTCTACAAGGTTGCACAATAGAAGAGAAATGTATACCAATCAGCTGTATTTCTATACAGTAGCAATGAACAAATCAAACATGAAATTACGAAAATAGTTGATTTGCAATAGCACTGAAAGGAATGAAATACTTAGGAGTAAATTTAAGAAAAGAAGTACAAAAGCTATATTCTGAAAACTGTAAAATGCTTAAAGAAGACCTAAATAAATGAAAAGATATCCCATGTTCATGGATTAGAAGATGATATATTAAGATGTCAGTAATCTCTAAATTGATTTATGAGTTTCATACACTTCCTAACAAAATCCCAGCTGACTCTTGGCAGATTATTGATGAAATTGATCCTCAAATTCATAAAAAAAAAAAAAATTCAAGGGACTCAGAGCAACCAAATCAATTTTGGAGAAAAAACCAAAAACATTGAACTACTCATACTTCCTGATTTCAAAACTTACTACAAATAATTACAATAATCAAGATACTGACTTAAGAATGTAGACATATAGATAAGTGGAATAGAATTGAGAGTCTGGAAATAAACTCTTACATTTACAGTCAACTGATTTTCAACAAGAATGTCAAAAGCATTAAGTCGGGAAATAATAGTCTCTTGAACAAGTGGTGCAGACACAATGGATTTCCACATGCAAAAGAATGGAACTGAACCCCTACCTCTCACCACATATAAATATAATTCAAAGTGAATCAAAGATCTAAACAGAAGTACTGAACTATAAACTCTTAAAAGAGAATATAGATGTAAATCTTCATGACCTTGGATGAAGCAATGATTTTCTGGATATGACACCAAAGCATAAGCAGTACAGTAGAAATTAGATAAACTGGGATTCATTAGAATTTAAACCTTTTGTGCCTCAAAAAACACCATCAAGAAAGTGAAAAAGACAGTCCATAGAATGGGAGAAAATATTTGCGCCTGAGGAGGGACTTGTATCTGGAATATATAAAGAACCCTTACAACTAAATAATGAAAGGATCTGAATATAGTTTTCCCCAAATAAGAGGATATACAAGGGGCCAACAAACACATGAAAAGATGCTCAACTTTATTAGTCATCAGGGAGATGCAAATCCAAACCATAATGAGATAAAATGTCATACCCAATAGGCTGTAACAAAAGACAGGCAGTAATAAAAGTGTTGACAAATCTATGGACAAATTGAAACCCTCAAACACTGCCAGAGGGACATAACATGCTGGATGTGGTTTAAAGCAACCTCAGATTCTGTAGTATTATAGTATTTACTCTTGAAAAAAAAATCTGGGTGTAAGTGGACCCATGCATTTCAAACCCATATTGTGAAGGGTCAACGCTAATAGCAAAAATAAATAAATAAGTAAAATAACCTAAATTCCTATTAAAGGGGAATGCATAAACAAAATGTGCTGTTTTATGCAGTGAAATAGGAAATAATTAAAAGGAATAAGCATACATATACATATATACATAATCTCTGAGCTCTAAAAAACACAGTAGTGGATAAAAAAGTCAAGTTGCAAAATAGATATAGCATAACACATACATGTACATTTCTGAAGTATAGAACTACCATGCATTATTCCTTGACACATGTATCTGTTACTGTATCTTTAAATGGCTAAAAGATGCACTGAAGTCCTGAAAGCAGCAGCCACTGGGGTAATGGGTGAAGAGACAGTGATTGAAGATGGAGAAAAGGGATCTGTCACTTCATCTTCATTGTACTACTTCTCTAATTGAAAGAAGAAAGCAGATATGACAAAATGTTAATATTTATTCATTCTGAGTGACAGCTCACAGGATGTTCATTATATTATTCTTTGTAGTTTGCTTTTTAAAAAAATTTCTCCCAATGAATAAAACTTAAGTTGAGATAACAGTATCTTTTGTCATTTAGTTGTAGACTTATTTATTCATAATTTAGCCTTAGACTTATTTATTGTTTAGGTATTTTATGTTCCTGTTTGTTTTAAAAGTGAATGTATATAAGTATAGCTGAAATAGCTAAATTTCCTTCCTTTGTTTATGTTCACAAAGCGTCCTCATTTTATTTAGCATTCTTTGTTATCAAAATGTGGTTTTTATATACAAACGAGCAGTAGATTATGAGGGCTCACAGTTCTACCAGTCTGTATATTAAGAATGTAGTTCCTATGGTGTGTGTGTGTGTGTGTGTGTGTGTGTGTTCAGTTGTGTCTGGCTCATTGCGACCCCTGAACTGTACCTGCCAGGCTTCTCTGTCCATGGAATTTACAGTCAAGTAGACATCCTCACACACCTTGATCTCTAGAAGCACCCATTTGTATTGGAGCCAGCATAGCCACGAGCAGACAGAGAGGCAAGAAGTCCAAAGAGCTCCTCTTCGGTGCTGATGATTTGTTGGTGCTGACTGTTAGGGCCGAAGGTCTGAAACCAGCGACGTTTATTGGCTCAGTCTGCAGCACGCCTCTCCAGTGACATTGCCACAGTTCTGACAAACGGACGGGACGCTCTGCCTGTTCCCCACGTGGCATTAAACCGCCTGCAGTACAGAAGTCCGGCTCAGGCAGGGTGGAGGGCACACTCCAGTCCTGGATCACACAAAGGTGATGCTGGGCAGGTGGTGGCAAGGGCACCTTTACAGACATGTCACCCACTGTGGCTCTCAGGCATCAGATGGGGAGTCTGGCAGACTTTGGAGGTGCACCCCAGGTAATTGCTGTGACCATATTTGAAAAGTAACAGATAAATGTGGATTTAAAACAGAGTAATAATTACACAGTGAAGTGCTAAGGTGAGATGTTTAAACATGCACAGGTAAGGGGGCGGGGGAACCTCCATACCTTACCTTTGGGGATTCACCAGGGTCTTCAACCGGAGTAGAATTCAGGTCTCTCTCTGCGCCTTATTTGCTCCTCCCCGCAAGCAGGAGCAGGAGGAAGTTATCTAAAAGAAGGAACTGAGCATGCTCAATTTGGACCCTTTTGTCTGTCTAATTTTGGAGCCAGCCTGTCCCTGGGATATATGTCAATACACAAGGGTCAGTCATTAGCATGGCCTCCCTGCCACAGATCTGAAGCTACGTTCTTTTCAACCAGCTTTATCAGTAACAAAGTCCATGTGTTTAGCTCCATCCGTCTGGCCTCTTACCCCTCAACTGGTTCCAAACTCAAGAGGGAAAGAGGGAGCAGGTACTATCAAGTGTCCCCCTCCCCCACCACAACCTGATGATCAATTAATATAAAACCTCAATAGTATAAATTAATATAATCCATGATATCAGTGGGGTACAGTATAGGTGGCACAGTGATGAAGAATCCATCTGCCAATGCAGGAGACACAGGAGACGCTGGTTCAGTCCCTGGGTTGGGAAGATCCCCTGGCGAAGGTAGAGGCAACCCACTCCAGTATGCTTGCCTGGAGAATCCCACGGACAGAGGAACCTGATGGGCTCCAGTCCCTGGGGTCACAAGGAGTCTGACGTGACTGAGCACGCATGACCATATGACATCAACCAATTATATATATATACTAGAATGATAGTGAGCATTGCTCACTTACGTTTAGATTTCATAAGTGGGGTTAAAAAAATGAATGTATGATTTATCATGGCATGCTTGAATAACTTGAGACAGACTCCATTAAGATGTACATTTTATAATGTATCATATTATCTACATAGGTATATAAGTGTACACAGATTTATTTAACTCAATCATGCAATAGCAAAAACAAAAGCTACCAAAAAAACAACCCTGCATGCTGTCACAGTACACAGGTCTGCAGATGGCCATCTGTACATGGGCAGAACACAGTGGTTTTAAGGTTGAATTAGTGTTCTAATCTCTTTGGGATTTCCTTTACATATGTGGTGGTTTATGGCTGATGTTTCATGTAACTTGAGCTCTCTGTTTATATTTAATAGAAGATTCATTCCTGTGGCAGGATACACATTTATGCTCCAGTGTTGAATAAAAGCTACTGTTCTGCAGGAGGGATATAAAACATTGATTTATAATGACACGTTCCAATAACAGTGATCCAATTCTCCCAAACCCTCTCCTCAGGTCCTGGGAGCAGCATGGCTCCAGCCAAGGATGATTCTTCCCGTCTGGAATATTCAGCCTTCAACACATCTATCCATGCTGCCATTAGATACCAGAACTGGAAACTGCTCACAGGCTACCCAGGTAGAAGGCCTAGCATCTCCCACTGGAACAGCTGGGAGGATTTTCCAAAGAATAACTGCCTTTCACAGAACACCATCTCTGGACTGCTGAATGAGAGGGAGGGGTGTAATCTCATCCTACATTTTTAAAAATTAGGAATTAACTGTTGAGGTGGTGCTGGGGCAGGAGGAGGCTTCACAGGTGGCGCTTGTGGTTAAGAACCCGCCTGCCAATGCAGAAGATGTAAGAGACATGTATTCAATCCCTGGGTGGGGAAGATCCCTTGGAGGAGGGCATGGAAACCCACTCCAGGATTCTTGCCTGGAGAATCCCACAGACAGAGAAGCCTAGCGGGCTACAGTTTGTGGGGTCACAAAGAGTCAGACACAACTGAAGCGACCCAGCACACATGCATGTAGAGGTGGGGTGAAGGTGAGAGGGAGAAACACAGCTCTAGGGCCTCGTGGAAAAGAAGGGTTTCAGATGTGCGTGGCCGGCAAGCACAATACGTCTAGCTAGCAAAGACAGTCTCTGAAAGTGACATCTTCAACGAGGAGTGTAGTGGTGGGGAGGGGTTGCTTCCCCTGAGCACATCCTTGAGGTGACATCTTTTAAATAGTTTTATGGTATGTGGTTAAGACTGTGATGCAATTAAGCAGTGTTTATAATGAGGTCCTTCTTGATGTTTGCAGGAAGACAGTCCTTCATTGTTTGTGACTGTCCCATAAGTTGTAAGACATTTTAGCATCCCTGGCCCATGACTGCTAAATGACAATAGTACCCACCCCAAGCACTGCCCCCAAGTTCTCTGTAATGACTGAAAATAACCCAGCTACACACACATGTACACACACACAGATACACACACACACACTCACGTGCACACACACATGCACACACATGTGCATGCACATGCGTGCGCACACATGCACACATATTCGTGCACACATGCACAGATATACACACTTGTGTGCACACACATGTGCATGCACACAGAGATACACACATGCACACACATATGCATGTACACATGCACAGATATACACACATATGCATGCACACATGCACAGGTAGACACACATATGCACACATGCATGTACACACACCGATATACACACATGCACGCGCATAGACATGCACACACACAGATATACACATACGCGTGCACACACACAGATATACACACACGTACACACATACGCATGCACGCGTGCGCAGATATACACACACATGCACACACATACGCATGCTCAGATACACACACATACACACTTGTGCACACATGCACACACACAGATATGTATACACATGCACACACGCACAGACATACACAGATGTACACACATGCGCGTGCACACAGGCACAGATCTACACACTCATGTACACACATGCACATGCATGCATGCACAGATATACACACATGTATGCACATGCACACACACAGAGATACACATACATACGCATGCACACATGCACAGATATACACACATGTGTGCACACACTTGTGTACACACACATGTGCACGCACATGCACATATAAACACATGCATACACACATGTACACACATGTGTGTGCACACATTACAGATGTACACACACTTGCGTACACACACGTACGCACATACGCATGCACACACGCACAGATATACACATGCGTACACACATGTACACACATATGCATGCACAGATGTGCACACATGCACACACAACACGGACACAGACATACACACACGTACACACATACACATGCACACACACATATACACACATGCACATACACATGTACACACATACACATGCACACATGCACAGATATACACACACGCACACACATACACTTGCACATACATATGTATGCACACACAGATACACACACATGCACAGATACGCACACAGTTGTGCATACACACACATGCACACACATGCATGCTCTTTCCTGGAAGCCCCAGTCCCACTGTGAAGCAGTGAGACATGTTTAGTTAAAGCACCAGAAGTCAGAGTCTGGGACAAATCTAGACATAGTGTCAAGGGCCACATTTTTTTTAATGTGGCCATACCCACAACCTAGCTCAACCTTATCCCCTAAACTCCTTCCTTGAAGATGGAGCCTACCCACAGTGCTTCTCCTCCAATAAACTGCTGTGTCTCTTTGCCAGGCTGTGGTCACTGGTTTCCCCCACCATCCCAGGACAATGTTTCTGTGATGCCCTCACCGGACCCGCCAGCCAAGACCCTCTGGCTCTTTGACATTGACCGGGACCCGGAAGAGAGGCACGACCTGTCTAGAGAATATCCCCACATCGTCAAGAAACTCCTTTCCCGCCTGCAGTTCTACCAGAAACACTCAGTGCCTGTGTACTTCCCGGCACAAGACCCCCGCTGCGATCCCAAGGCCACTGGGGCCTGGGGCCCTTGGATGTAGGATTTTAGGCAGCCTGGAGGGCAGCTTGAAAGCCTCTCTGCAAGTTGGACTCCAGGCCTTTACTCATGTGATTCTTGTTTCGTTTGTTCTCCCAGCCTGGGTGCCCCTGGCCCTGCTCTTGCTCCTAAATCATATTGAGTTGTCTAATTTCAACCCCTGGTGCAATTGAGGTGCTGATAAAATCTGAACACTGATGCTGTTGGCTGGGGTATGTGTCCAGAGGAGAGGGTGACTGGGTTCACCCTCCCTTTCCTGAGCTGCGGGATTGCTGGGAACTTGACTTAAAAGAGGAAGTTACTGAGTCTTGGAGGCTGGAACAGCTGGTTCTTTTTGCCTCACAAGTCAAATGTTAGATTTCCCTCTGCAATAGCCGGGTTTTATTGGAGTGACTCACGTTTCTTGTAACAAATGAAAGGGTTAGACAGTCGTTAATGGTTCTGTTGGCCACGGGTTCTCCTGCCTGTGAGAGATCCTGTTCAGGCATCCCCTGTGAATAACCCGCCTTGGTTCACCCCTCGCTCATGCATCTCATCACTCACCTCATCACTCATCCTGTCACAGAGCATAAGGCTTGTTTCATTATTAACATGAGTTTGGCAATATGCCTGCTCCTTAGTTTTGGGCTTTATGATTAAGGAATGTGTTTTTATCCCCCGGTTTTTCCCAACCGTTGCTCATCTTGTCTGGACTGCCAGCTACCCCTATGCCCTTTGGGGTTCTTTTTCTGCCTTTCCTCTGATTCAGGCATCCTGCACCTGGGAAGGCTGCTTTGCTTCTCCACTATGAGCACCACTGGTCTCTGATACACTGCTGAGGCCTGCCTTCCTTCTGCCCCTGACCCTGAAGCTCCTTTCTAGGAGGGCTACCTAGAAAGAATGGCGAGTCTACTCTGTGGGCATGTTCATGGCAGTACCTGGGTCTCTGTCATCTGCTCGGAGATGTTTTTTCCTAGTTGCATGGAGTTTATTCTCATGATTATGGCTAAGTGTCAAAATATATTTAGTTGCACTGTTCTTCACTAGAAGTGAGGAGAAACCTTGGGAAAGGATAATATTGTCCTGAGATGATGCAAGTAGTAGGCAGTTTGAGAAAGGAAATGGCCAGCATGTGGGATACTGGACCTCAATAACACAGAAGGCATATCCATGTTTCTCTTATTTTCTCAGCTTTACTGCCTTTATTAAGGTTGGGGGAAGAGCATACACAGTTTGATCTTCCAGCTCTTTTTCAGCCCCACCAACATCCTACTAACATGAACAAGTCCAGATGAGCTTCAAAGAGTGTCAAACTCAGGAAAATGTGGCCAAAATCTACATTCCCTTTTTTTTTGCATTAACTCCACTGTTTCATTCAATGCTTATCTCCAATGCCTGGATCAATGCCTACTGCATGGAAGGCACTCAGTACACCTTTTTAAAAAATAAGTGACTGAATGAACAAATGAATAAATGAGAAAGTCTCACACCAGGGAAGATGCTAGTTCAATGAGCTGAGTACTGGGCTGAATATAACTATCTTCCAATGGTCACTTTTCTGTTCTCAAGCTGCCCTACTGGGATAGGAGCACATATCTGGGCAGTCTAGGACACCATGGTGAAGTTGTGATGTCTTCCAGAGCGAGAAGGGCAAGAAATATGCCTGCTGAAGGGACTCTCCTGCCAATAATCCTCAGTTCTCCTCTGCAAAGGACACTGGAAACTAAAACCACCAAATACGATATAGGTCATGGCACAGCGATCCTTCAGTTCAGCGGCAATATCCTCTGGTGACAACTAGTTTGTGTTAAAATACGATGAATGGAGAGAAATGGTGCTAGAACTAATGACACCTGTTACCATCCTGTCCCCCATGCCTGGGCCGGCATGCAGCTGGCCAGGGTGCTTCTAACCCTCACTCTCAAGCCTGTGGCAGATATTATGAATAACTGAGCCCAGTGTTCCTTCTGGACCCTTCTAACCCCGGGGGTGGAGGTACTGTTAATACTGTAAGATTGGAGGCCATCACTGCATGACACCTGTTCTCTCCTCCTGCTGTCCTCCCAGCAGCTGTTCCCAATCCTAGGTCCTTGATTGCTGTGTACCGTGTGGATGTTCTGCACTCGATGGACTCAAAAGGAATTTTAAGGACTGATTTTTTGGTAAAACTTTTACTTGAGATCTTACGTTACCCATAATAGAACGTCATTGGGTTTTCTGATTCTGTACAGGAATGTAGACAGATTCACAGGCTGTCACTAGACGTGTTAACAGTATATCTTTCTGACTTGGTTTACCTATGGTTTTGTTTATTTAATTTCCTTTTTACTACCTGATTATTCCAGATGTAGGGGACAAAAAATTAAATTTATCTTTGAAAATGTGTCAGCCGTGAGTATGGGGTTTTCATTTGGGAGATGAAAAGGTTCTGGAATTGGATAGTAGTGATGGTTGTACAACATCATGAATGCACTTAACGCCTCTGAATTGTACTTTAAATGATTCAAATGATAAATTTTACGTTGTATAGTTTTTAACCACAATTTCAAAACTATGTTGGCCTGTTTTGTGTCATGTGAATTTTAACTGAAAAAAGCTATTAAATAAATATAACAAAAAATATCAGAGCTGAAAAAAAATGTGTCCATCCTTGCCTCCAAAGACACACAATATCCTATTTTATCCTATAAAATTGGAGGAAGGGGCCTTGCAGATGCCGCCACCCCGGAGCCTTCCTTGCTGTCTAGCCATGGTCAACCCCGCCGTCTTCTTCGACATCGCTGTCGACAGCGAGCCCTTGGGCCGCGTCTCTTTTGAGCTGTTTGCAGACAAAGTTCCAAAGACAGCAGAAAACTTTCGTGCTCTGAGCACTGGGGAGAAAGGATTTGATTATAAAGGTTCCTGCTTTCACAGAATAATTCCAGGATTTATGTGCCAGGGTGGTGACTTCACACGCCATAATGGTACTGGTGGCAAGTCCATCTATGGTGAGAAATTTGATGATGAGAATTTCATCCTGAAGCATACAGGCCCTGGCATCTTGTCCATGGCAAATGCTGGCCCCAACACAAATGGTTCCCAGTTTTTCATCTGCACTGCCAAGACTGAGTGGTTGGATGGCAAGCATGTCGTCTTCGGCAAGGTGAAAGAGGGCATGAATATTGTGGAAGCCATGGAGCCCTTTGGGTCCAGAAATGGCAAGACCAGCAAGAAGATCACCATTGCTGACTGTGGACAAATCTAATAAATTTGACTTGTGTTTTACTTAACCACCAGACCATTCCTTCTGTAGCCTAGGAGAGCACCCCTTCACCCCCATATGCTCGAAATATCCCATAATCTTTGTGCTCTCGCTACAGTTCTTTGGGTTCCATATTTTCCTTATCTCCCTCCAAGTTTAGCTGGATTGCAAAGTTAAATTTATGATTATGAAATAAAAACTAAACAATTAAAAAAAAATTGGAGGAAGGTCAAGAGAGGATGGGAGTAAATATAAAGTGATAATAAGGGAGTGTATTAGTTTTCTATTGCTGTACAATAAATTATCCCCAAATTTAACAGCTTAAAACAATGAAGATTTGTTGTGTCCAACATTATATGAGAGTCAAAAGTTTAGGAGTGGTTTACCTTGGTGGTTCTGGCTCAGGGTCTCTCATGGAATCGTATTCAACCAATTGTCCAGAGCAACATTCCTCTGAGTGGATCACAACAATCTGTGGAAAAATTTTGAAGATGGGAATACCAGACCACCTTACCTGCCTCCTGAGAAACATGTATGCAGGTCAAGAAGCAACAGTTAAAACCAGATATGAAACAACAGACTAGTTCAAAATTGGGAAAGGAGTACGTCAAGACTGTCTATTGTCCCCCTGCTTATTTAACTTCTATTCAGAGTACATCATGCAAAATGCCAGACTGGATGAATCACAAGCTGGAATCAAGATTTCCAGGAGGAATATCAACAACCTCAGATATGCAGATGACACCACCCTGGTGGCAGAAAGCAAAGAGGAACTAAAGAGCCTCTTGATAACGGTGAAAAAGGAGAGTGAAAAAGCTGGCTTAAAACTCAGCATTCAGAAAACTAAGATCATAGCATCCAATCCCATTACTTCATGGCAAGTAGATGGGGTAAAAGTGAGAAAAATGACAGACTTTATTCTCTTGGGCTCCAAAATCACTGCAGATGGTGACTATAGCCATGAAATTAAAAGATGCTTGCTCCTTGGAAGAAAAACTAGGACAAATCTAGACAGCATGTTAAAAAGCAGAGATGTCACTTTGCTGACAAAGGTCCATATAGTCAGAGCTATGTTTCTTCCAATAGTCATGTATGGATGTGAGAGTTGGATCATATAGAAGGCTGAGTGCTAAAAAATTGATGCTTTTGAACTGTGGTGCTGGAGAAGACTCTTGAGAGTCCCTTGGACTGCAAGGAGATCAAACCAGTCCATCCTAAAGGAGATCAGCCCTTTAGGATATTCATTTAAAGGAACGATGGTGAAGCTCCAATACTTTGGCCACCTGATGCAAAAAGCTACTCTGATGCTGGGAAAGATTGAAGGCAGGAGGAGAAGGGGATGACAAAGGATGAGATGGTTGGATGGCATCACTGACTCAACGGACATGAATCTGAGCAAGCTCCAGGAGATGGTGAAGGACGGGGAAGTCTGGTGTGCTGCAGTCAGTGGGGTTGCAAAGAGTCAGACAGGACTGAGCAACTGAACAGCAGTCCTCTGAAGGCTTGACTGGAGTTGGAGCACCCACTTCCAAGATGACTCACTCACAAGGCTCTTGGCTGAAAGCCTCAGTTCCCTGCGCTGTGGGCCTCTCCAGGGGCTGAGTTATATCCTCACACATGCTACCAAGCTTCCAGCAGAACCAGAAATCCAGAGAAAGAGGGAGCTGCAGTGCCTTTTATAACCTGGTCTCCAAAAGCATGCACCGTCTCCTCCACCTTTTATCACTTCCTTAAAAACGAGTCACTAAGTCCAACCCATACACAGAGGAGGAGAATTAGGCTCT